TTTTTTTTTCAGCTTTAATTGAGTTTATTGGTACATTTTAGGGATACAGTACAGTTACATTCATTGTTGGGATCTTATACCTCTACATGACAGGTCTGGATTTTCATTTTTTCCCCTTACCCCTGCCCTCCCTTCACCCCCTCCTCCCCTCCCCATCTACAAACACTTTATTTTCATCTTTTCATTCTCTCACAGTTTTTTCTTTTCCCTTTTTACTCTTCCCCTACCCATCCCACCTTCCCTACACTTTTAGCTCCTTTGTTCCCATTTCTAAATGTCAGTAATCTTATTAGAATCTTATGCATTGTTGCAGATTATTTACACCAGGGAAACTATTTGGTATTTTATACATGTGTGACTTATTTATTTCACTTAGGAGTATATCTTCAATATGTATCCATTTTCATTTGTTTTTTTTTCTTGGAAGGCAAGCTTCTCGAAGCACAAGATTCACATGATTTATTCACCAGGACGGTTCCTCCACATAACAGGTGCTATATAAATATTTAGTGAAGGAATTTAAGAAATAATTATTTTCAGATTTTCCTATTTGTGGTGAAGGTTTTAGAGAGCAGAGAAGAATACAAAGCAGAAAGTCTGAAGGGGGAGACTTTGCAAAGTAGTCAACAGTTTATTTTTTATCCTACAAAGTTTGGATGATTTATGTGTCAGAAATCTTTTTAATATGCACACATAAAACTTTTCTGCAACTTGATTCTTTTACTATAGAAGTGTGAGAACTTCAAGAGCAAGACAGGTGTTTGTAAATGTGTAAGTAGAGGTGATTCTGAAGTTTATTTCAGCCGACCTCACCGATAAAGCTCACTTGCTTATTTTGTCTTACTGTTTGGTTATATGAAAAGCTGCTCATCATTTTTGGCTGGTCCTTGAGACTCCTTGCAAGGCTTGCTGCCCTTTTATAAAATAAAACACCTTGGTAAAATGAACACTTCCCAAAAGTCAAAAGCCAGAGGTGCTGATGTATTTGAGGTCAGCTTTTCACTGTACGATCTGTGAAACTACAATAGCTGTGGCAGCTCTCAGGACCCCAGGAAGCTGGACACCACGTGCCCAGAGCTGCAGACATGACAGGTGATCAGATGGGCACGTGTCACAGTGGCCTCTGGGACACACGGTGCCTTCCTTCCCTATCCTTGGTGATTTTAAGGACAACTCCTTCCTTCTGTTTCTGATCATGTGGGAAAAAGACTGGATGTGCCACTTAGGACACAGGGCAGAGGAAACCAAGGGCTGATAGAAGCCTTTTCTACCTGAGTGGGACGAACAGAACACACGGCCTCAGTGTGTGTCTTCCTGATATCCTCGCAGTCTCTGTGACCACTGGACTTGGCCCTCTGCAGCTGTCACCTCACCTCACTCATGCAGTGTCTTCCCTCGTCCTTGGAGGACCTGTGCCAAACCCTCAGTGGATTCCTGAAGCCACAGCTAGCATCAGACACTAGGTACACTACGCTTTATCCTACATGTGCATGCTTATGACAAAGTTTACCTCATAAGTCACACTAAGAGATTAACAGTAATAATAAAGTAAAAGAAAACGAACCTTAATAGTATATTGTAATAAAAGTTATGTGAATCCCTCCATCTCTCTCTCTCTCTTTCTGTCTCTCGATATCTATTTAAATATTTTTGGACGGCAGTTAACCTCTGGGAACTGAAATAGCACAAAAAAAAATTATGAGTAACAGAGAGCTGTTTGTAAGTACCCAGTACAAGGCCCCAGAAACCATAAATATTAGTCATTATTTTTGCCATGACATGTTTTCTTTTGCTTTCTTTCTTTTTTTGTGGGGGAATACTGGGGATCAAACTTGGGCCCAGGCACTTGTGAGCCAGGCAGCAGAACCACTGAGCTAAATCCCCAGCCCCCATGACTTGTTTTCTTAATCACTGGATACACATTTTTAGAAACCTTTCCTTTCATTTCCCTTTATCATGTCCTACTTTAAAGAATCTAACTAAACCAGGTTTTCAGGGAAAAAAAAGTGCATTGTGGGGAAGCAGGTACTATTGTTGCTATAGGAAACTTTTGAACATTTTAGAATAAATACATGCTGAAGACACTTCTGGTTTGCATGTAGTAAAATGCATCCACAGTGCTACGAGTGCAGGTTCAATTAATTCAGGTCTGATAAACTCTGGTCACAGGGTCAGTCAGTCTTGCTGTTCATTTGACATCATGGTCTCGGTCCACATCTCTCGTTCCAGTAGTTGCTGGGGAAGCAGGAGGAACCAGCTAAGAGGGTAAGGCTGCACCAGCACAGGCCATTTATTTAACAAGAGTTCTTAGTGTCCCTGAAGGAGCACGGGGTGAGGCAAGAAGCTGGAGGAAACAGGTGTGTCCCGCAGCCTGTTCCTGGAAGCAGGGGTTCACATCAATCTCCCGGGAAGGGGGAAAGCTAGGCCAGAGCTGTGAACAGCTTGCTTGAACATAGGTAAGTCCAAATCCCGTTCATGAATGGAGCGATTTTTAAAAAGTATAGCTAAGAGAAAAAGATTGGAAAGGAAGGCAGAGAAGTGAGGGAGAATACGTGGAGAATGCTGAGGGGGGAGGCTCATGAGCTTGTGCTGGGGGTGCTCCGCAGCTTTCGGGGTGCAGGTGCCTTCAAAGCTGGTGGACTGAAGCCTCCAGGGCAGAAAAGCTGAAGATGGCTCTCCTGATGTGCCTGTCCACTTTCACATACACGGCATCGTCTTCTGTAACTTATGTTTTCTTTAGATTAATTTTAAACCCAGTGTTCCCAGGTATAGAAGGGTGTGCAGGACATCACGGGGCAGCCAGTGCTGCTGGAGATAGACAGAAAGGCTGGCTGTCTCAGGGTCGGGCAGAGAGGGCTTGGCTTGTGGCTGTGAGCTGGCTCGAGCCTTGGCTGTCCCACTGCAATCCTGAGAAAAGCCCTCACACTCTGCGAGCCTCTCCCCTCATTTGTAAAATGAGAAAAGAACAAAGAACAGTAGTTTCCTTGCAGGGCCCTCTGGGGGTTAAAGGAAATAATGTTTGTAGAGTGCCTCATGTTAGGACAGATGCTACTCTGAAAGGGACTGCAGATCGCAAGGGGTGAAAGGAGACTTTCTGTTCAAAGGCAAAATCAAAGTGAGGCATCTTCCTAATCTCTTACCCAGGCCGACTCCTCTGTACTCACACACAGTCGGGGCTGAGCCATTTACTTGCCTTCTCAGGAACCCACTTCTAATAAGAGGGAGATCCCAGAAGACTCCAGGTCTGCGGGCTCACTCTTCGTTTCCATCCTCAGGCTGATAATTGCTTCCTTTCCTTTGACATCTTTTTCAAGGCTAAATGAATGCATTATTGCTTCTGGCCATAAGGAAAGCTTACACCGTACCACCTTATGAATTCTCTTCTTTGACAACACCAGGTGGTGCTGGGAATCAAGTTATTTATCAGCATGTTTTCAGGGTAATTCTTTTCTTTTATGAGCATTCTTGTATTCGCTCACAAAAATCTTTTTTTTTTTTTTTTTGTTAATCTCATAGAGTAAGACGTGGAAGGTATCTGAAAGTCTTAGTGGAAGCTCACACTGATAAGATTCAAGATGTGATTATTTGGCAACGTGTGATTTAAATCCCAAGTACATCAAATCAGTGGCTGTTGGATTCCCAAAGAGATTAATCCATATAAGTGGTTCCCAGTCTGTGTTACAGAATGTTAGTTTTTACTTTCATTGTTCAAAAATGAATTTATTGTGTGTTTGAGGTTTACATCACGATGTAGCGCAGAACATTTAGATAGTATGGTGCTTATTATAATAAAGAACATTAGTACATCTTCAGCTCACATAACTGATTTTTTGTCAGCACGTGACTAAAATCTCCTTATTATTTATGATCCCTACTTACTACACAGTACAGTTTTATTAACTATACTCCCCTTTTCACACACTAGAATCAATACTTTGTATCTTCCGACCTATGTCTCCCGATTTCTTTACTCTCATTTGGACTTTGGTAAACACTGTTTTATTGTCTGTATATTCGACCTTCTTTTTTTCCTTCTAGATCCCACATATACGTGAGATTATGTGATATTTTCTTGCCTGTGTGTGTGGCATATTTTGTTTAGCATAATGCCCCCATCCCAGGTACATCCCTGTTGTGACAAATGGCAGGATTTCATTGGATAAATACTTCACATAAAAAAAAAAAAAAGCAAAATGCCATTGACAGTTGGGCTGTTTCTTGGCTGTTGTGAGCAGTGCTACAATGGTGTGGGAGAGCAGATCTCTTGACTTGAGGGTGACTTCATCTCCTATGGGTGGGTACTCAGAGGGGGGCCTGCTGCGTCACATGATAGTTCTATTTTTAATTTCTTTAGGACACTCCATACTGCTTTCCACCATGGCTGCTCAGAGCTACATTACCAAGAACAGTGTTCAAGGGCTTCCCTATCCACACCCTGACCAATATCTGTTATTCTTAAAATTTTGGTAATAGCTACCTTAAAGTGTGTGAGATGGTGTCATATAAAGATTTCACTTTGCATTTTCCACATAGTGATGTTGAGAGAGTATTATTCTTCAGACATGGATAGATTTCTAAGAAAAACATGTCAAATAAGTTTTGATGGCGACCCTCCTCCTCCTCCTCCTCTTTCTCTTCCTCTTCTTCTTAGAATTGAACCTAAAACTTTCACACTGAGCTACATTTTACTTTTTTTAAAAATTTTGAGACAGTGTCTTGCTGAGTTACTATATTGCTCTAGCTGGATTTGAACTTGCAATCTGCCTGCCTCAGCTGTGCAGAATGCTGAGATTAACTGGGGTATGTCACCAGCATGGCTTTACTATTTTTTCATGTTTGGAGATTCTCAAAGTATATTATCATAAAGGATGAAACAATTCAGCAATATAGAAACCTGTTTAACTTTTTAAAGACTTTTCAAACTTCGGAAATTGTCCTCCTGTTTCCTCAACATAGTTTAAAATCTATAAGGACATTTAAATTTTATGTTGTACTTTTGGAACTGTTCCAAAGGGACAGTGACCCAGATTCTCTTTCTCTGGTAACACTGGGAGGGTCTTTTCTTTGTGGTGTCTCAGAGCATCTCCTAGATGTTAGCGGGACGGTCCCAGTGGTGTTTCTACCTCTGCAGGTGTTACATCACCTTGGCCCAAGCCCTGGGCATGAGCATGGGCGGCGCCCCTGCTGGGCCTGCGGGGACAGGCAAGACCGAAACCACCAAAGATATGGGGCGATGTCTCGGGAAGTATGTTGTGGTTTTCAATTGTTCAGACCAGATGGATTTCAGAGGACTTGGACGGATATTTAAAGGTAAGGGTTATGCTTTTCATGTGATAATGAATTTCTACTAAGGTGGAATATTTTGCTTATTTTTCAGGGTTGGTAGTATAGCTCAGTGGTAGAGTGTGTGGTGTGTGCTTAGCATGTGTGGTATGTGAGGTCTTGGGTTCAAAATGCAGAGAGAGAGAGAGATAACATACAAGGTTTACTTTTTAATAGTTGTCTATGCTTTAATGTTATTTCTCAAACTTGTAAAACTGATTAGAAAGTCTTGATTCTTATGGTGTTGTGTGGACCAAACATTAGCACCACCTGTCTTTTGTAATGTTCCTTTATTCATGCAGGTTTGATGTTCGCATTAATTGTGAGCTATTTGGGCTGACTTGTTGTGTGACCTATTTGTTCCACTTTGTTTTTAATAAACTTATCTCTGACTCTTGTTGGCAGCTGTGTGACATCCTTTCCTTGGCTTTCCCAAATTAAACACTAATGGATTTTCTGTTTCATTTCCTTCCTCAGGATTGGCGCAGTCTGGATCCTGGGGTTGTTTTGATGAATTTAACCGCATTGATCTCCCAGTTCTCTCAGTCGCAGCTCAGCAAATTTCCATCATTCTCACATGTAAAAAAGAGCATAAAAAATCTTTTATATTTACTGATGGTGATAATGTGACTATGAACCCCGAATTTGGACTTTTTCTAACCATGGTAAGGAGCCACCAGATGAGCTGCTGAGATTTCGGCATTCTCATCACAATCTTCACGCCTCTCCCCGGTCATATGTCACCTGTTTTTCACAAATGAAAGTGGGGATTGTGATTTGTTACTACTGTGTGAAAGGCTTTGGCTTAAAGGAAGCTCATAGTATCTGGTGACTTGGTCTGTCCAGGTAGGAGAGGGAGATACATAAGTGATCTGTCGGGTTGTCAACCAGATTTGTTGGGTGTATGCAATGAATCTTTGAATATGGTGCTGATGTGTGTTGTTGCCCCCGGAATGTATCTTTCATCACTGGGTTTTGTTTTCTGCTTAGAACCCTGGCTATGCTGGGAGGCAGGAACTCCCTGAAAACTTGAAGATTAACTTCCGCTCTGTGGCCATGATGGTCCCAGACCGACAGATTATCATAAGGGTGAAGCTAGCCAGTTGCGGCTTCATTGACAACATTGTCCTGGCCAGGAAGTTTTTCACGCTGTACAAGCTGTGTGAGGAGCAGCTTTCCAAGCAGGTGTGTCCTTCTGCAGGTCTCTGTGGACTTCAAGCATGTTTTATTCTTCTATTAGGTGAAATGCTCTCGTTTTGAAAACTTGTGGACAAAGTACTCACTGATATCAAGTATAAGAGCACATCATTGCAAAACTAATCTTATCTGCATAGTTTTATTAAGGAGCACATTTAAAAAATTAATATTTACAAAAAATTAGTATTAACAGCATAGGATGAAGTGAGTACTACACAAACTAAGAGCCAAAGGATTGTGGACATTGATGTTTGCTATGTACACCATCTATACATTCATCATAATGTGTGTTATGTGTTGTCATGGAATTTAGGGACCTCTGAATCATTTTCTCTCTTAGAAGCTCTCGAAAGTGTTTGACCAAACTTTATACTAGTTGTCTCTCTTCTCTGTTTTGGCCCTCTTGCTAGTTTCCACTACAGTCTGGGGTAGCAGGTTCAGACATCATGCAGTTTCCTAGTAAAGAGGCATGAAATTAATCAGATATCACTTCTGTATTAGTTATCAGCTGCTGTGCTATGGGTCAGAAGTCAGAGCATGAGGGTCCTATGCTGGGTCTCACAAGGCTGAAACCAGGATTCTAACCAGGGCTGAAGTTTCATCTGATGTTTAATGGGGAACGATCTGCTTTCAAGCTCACTCAGATTGTGGGAAGAATCTGTTCTTTGAGGTTATAAGCTGGGCTTCAGTTTCTTGCTTGTGGTTTTGGGGTCACCCTTTGCTCCTATATCTTGTGTGTAGCTGTTTCTTCCATGGGACTGCCCGGCATGGTCATTGGCTTTTGCAGTCAGTAAGGAAAGAAATTCCAGAAAGATGAGTGCTTCAGCTTTATGTAATATATTATGTATATGTAACCATATACAACTATCATCTCTGCTGTATCCTTTTAGTTAGAAACAAATGGCAGGTCCTGCCCATGCCTAAGGTGGTCAGATCACACAAGGGCATCATGGAGACAGGCACTCAAACACAATTTTCTAGCACCCATTAGCAAAAATTACTACAAATACCTAAATAATGACACATGGAAATAAAGATGAACTACACCCCTAACATACATAACTTCAATCCATCTCCTCATTCAAGCTTTCATTGCAAACTTTTTTGAATTCAGATTTTTATACTGACAGGTTCCGTCAAATTACATTCCCATTCGAAAGTCCTTTCCCTGCGAATGTTCAGCCACATACAGAGCCCTGGTCCTGGCCATTGAGCTTCCTGGTTATCCTGACCCTAACTCTGTACTGTGCCACCAACAATCTTTTTTCTTCTGCTTTTGACAGCTCTGTGTCATTAATTCTCGTCTTTCTCCCAGACTAAGAAGTACTTTCCCATTCTGTTTCTTGCATGCAGAAAATGTTCCATCTCACTGACTCTTGCTCTCTTCCTACTACTTCTTTATTTCTACTTCCCCCACTCCCTGAGCCACATTCACAGAGTCACTGTGAAGTGACACAAATCCATGTGCACCAGGCAGTTGGCCCACTGAGGATCTCTTAGGGAACAATCTTGGAATCTCCCTTCCTGTCCATATATTTAACTGAGTCCGATTCTGACAAGCTTTCCTTATTAATTTTACTCATCAGCACTTTATGTTATTGTTGATTTTATGCAAATTTATTTATATTTTTATTTGTTGTCTTTGTTTACATTTAAATTATTTGAAGGCAGGCACTCAATTTGAAAGTGTTTGAGTGCTCTGTGTTCCATATGACTGTGATTGATTGAGACAAGTGCTCCCAGTGATTTTGGATGATTATTTTTGTTTTGCTATAGGTATTTTTTTATTGTGGTAAAAATTTGTAACATTAATTTGCCATCTTCGCTGTTGCTAGGAGTACAGTTCAGTAGTGTTAAGTATATTCACAGTGCTGTGAAATAGCTCTCTAAAATTTTTCATCTTGAAAGACTGACATTTTATACTGGCTAAATAATGACATCCTCCCTCTACCCCTTGAAAACTACCATTCCCCTTTCTGTTTCTATGAATTTGATGAGATACCTCATAAAAATGAAGTCTTTTTTGTGACTGATGCATTTTACTTAGCATAAAATATCCTCAGAATTCACCTGTGATAAGTCATGGAATTCTATTTACAGCTAAATGATATTCCATTTTATGTATATTTGTTTGTATGCATTCCATTGTAAGTACGTAAATGTGGATGACCACGTTTTAGTTATCCATTGATCTGCCGTTGGGCACTTGGGTTGCTTCCATGTCTTGGACGTGATGCTGCTATGAACATGTGTTACCAGATCTCTCTGAGACCATGCTGCAGAAGTGGAATTGCGGGATCACATGATAGGTCTATTTTTAATTTTTGGAAGAACTCATCTACTTTTTCCACAGTGTATGGGTGTTTGGATTTTAGTTATTCACTTTGTATATTTTAAAATTTGGCATGATTGACTTTTCTAAATATATGCAAACGGCAGAGCTAGGGACTTGTCTTTTTGCCTTATCCTCATTTTTCCTCTTCCTAGTAATGTCAGAGTGTGGCTGCTTTTCCTCCTTTTCAATATTCCTGTCTTACTGGTGAAAAAGCTGTCTGTATGAGTGTGTGTGTGTGTGTGTGTGTGTATACATATATACATATGCATATATATGTCTGTGTATCAGATAATCATGAGTGGGTCCCAGTTTAATTCTGGTTTTGAATTTTAGTTTTAGAGACACAAAAATTTTTTTGCATGCATAATTGATTAAGTACAAGAGGATATCTATACTTCAAGAAGAAATGCACATCTTTGTTTTTTTTTTCTGTGTGGATATACCTGTTAGTTCTGAACTATGACTTAAGCTAATGATGATATATGAGTGACTCTTTTGGATATTATATATTTGCTCAAAAATTACTTAAAGAAATTTATTGTTAAAAAATGTCAAAAAGGAAAATAAGCATTTATTCATCTTGAGAAATACATCTTCCGTCAAATTTACTAGGTTCAACAGGTAAGTTAACATTAACAATGAGCTCAGTGTCTCCTAAATTTTTCAGGTCCATTATGACTTTGGTCTACGCAACATTCTTTCAGTTCTGCGGACACTGGGGGCTGCAAAGAGAGCCAACCCCACAGATACAGAATCCACCATCGTCATGCGAGTGCTACGAGACATGAATCTTTCCAAACTGGTGAGATTCACAGATGGAGATGTTTCTCCTGCCTAAATATCAGTTCAACTAATTAAGCAAAATGAGATTTTAAAATATTTATTTAAAAATGTTCATTTGAATGCCTTATAACCAGATAAAGTACTAGAGAGTTTAACTTTCAACTGTACCTTTATTAGAGGTACTCATTGTAATGACTCCTGTCTTCTAAAATGTGTCTATCCCCCCGCAAAACTCCACACATTAGGGTCTAAATCCCTTATGTCATTTTTGTGTTATAGAGTGAAACAATTTAAGGTTTTTTAGGACCTTAATGTATGGTAAGAAATTGTATTGCATTTTACATATGTGTAATGATTTCATAGTCTTACTATAAACACTAATAATACACATCTATTTTCAGTGGATCTGTGTACAAGATGACAAAATGGTATATTTTTTATTTCAAGACAAAAGCATGAACCAAATTCCAACTCATACATTTCCTACTATCTGCCTTTAAAAAATCCTTTATAGTTTACACTTGGGATTGTAAATTAAAGAGCATCCCCTAAACTAGTTACTTTGTGGAAAGATTTTCATATACTGCTTTTTCCTTCTTTTCTCTTTTCAACTTTATTTTTTCAATTTGTAAGAAATATGAAAATATTACCCAAGTGTGATAAATGTGATATTTTATTAAGTACTGGTAACAGTAAAATAACCTGGATGGGCCATGTTGGACATTTTCAGTTTATCTGCATATGCCTGTATTTGAGATAAAATAGACAGATTTCCCTTTCCCCCTTTTTTTCAGATTGATGAGGATGAACCCTTATTTTTAAGTTTGATTGAAGATCTCTTCCCAAACATACTTCTGGACAAGGCAGGTTACCCTGAACTGGAAACGGCAATTAGTAAACAGGTAATCTGCTGGTGCCTGGGACATTCAGTGCTGTGCCTGTTTTGTCTGAGTTTAGTAGAAACCAGTGCAGCTGGCGTGGCCCTCACCTGTGGGCTCTCAGAACAACACCGAGGCTGCATCCACTGATGGAGTGTCTCCAGGGCTGTATTTACATCAAGTGAGTCATGTTCTGGGACTTTGCTATTGCTGGAAACCATTCCACACAAGTGAGAAATGAAATGTGATAGGTCAGCAGAGGCCACAGGGGGCTCCAATGGCTGCCTTGATTGAATTTGCCTCTCTTCTGTCTTTGGCCCTGGCTTTTTTTTTAAAATGGTGAATCGCTTACTGTTTTTATTTTTCATTTGGTCATGAATATGCATTATTTATTTTTTCCCCATTAAGTTTATTGGTACATTTAAAGCAAACAGTACAGCCAGATTTATCATTGGGATCTTGTGCCTTTACATGATATGTCTTGGTTCTTGTTTTTCCTCATACCCCTGCTCTCCCTTCACCCACTTCACCGTTGCCTATTTACAAAGACTTTGTTTCCATTTTTTCACATTTTTTCCTTTTCCCTTATTTCCTTTCCTCTCCCGTTCCCTCTTCCCCTTTAGCCATTTTCTTCCTATTTGATAATCCCAATTATACCATTTGAACCTTATTTACACTTCTATTTTTCACACCAGATAAACTATTTGGTATTTACTCAAGTGTGTCCTATTTATTTCACTTAAGAGTATAGCCTCAATGTGCATCCATTTAGCTATGAATGGTTCTAGTTTTTCTTTCTTTATGGCTGAATAGTTCTCCATTTTATAGAAAAACCCCAACTAGAGTATATAAAGAACTCAAACAAATCAGACCCCCCCCAAATACAAAGACCCAATTAAAAAACGGGCATCTGAAATGAACAGACATTTCTCAGGCAAAGAAGTAAAAGTGGCAAATAAATATAGGGAAAAATGTTCCACATCACTGGTCATCTGAGAGATGCAGATGAGAACAACTGAGACTCCACCTCACCCCAGAAAGAATGGCTGCTATCAAGAAATTAACCAATAACAAATGTTGGCAGGGCTGTGGGAAGAAAGGAACCCTTCTCTGTTATTGGTGGGAGAGCAGACTGGTGCAACCACTATGGTAATCAATATGGAGATACCTCAAAGAACTAGGACTAGAGGTCCCATTTGACCCAGCCATCCCTCTGCTGGGTATCTTTCCAAAATAATTAAAAGAATCATACACATCATGCACATCCATGTTTGTAGCAGCATGGTTTGTAATAGCTAAAACTTGGAAAGAGCCCAAATGCCCATCAACTGGAGACTGGCCCTGGCTTTTGCCAAATTGCTTTGGCCTTAGACTCCCACCTTTCAGTATCACTTGTGATCTCGTGTGGCCTCAGCTCTCATTCTTCTTTCTCTGAGGCACCTATGATTTCTTCTGTAATGCTCTGAGGGTAAAGGGCATCCAATGACACGTGGGACACTTTAACTTGCTATAATTTTACTATGGGTGGAAATGAATCGCATAAATTCTTTGCTTCACTGTGCTTTCCTGTGAAGAGTTTGGTAAAAAAAAAAATGCTGACTTACAGAAGTAGTGATTAGCTCATATTTATAGGATGCTTTTTAGTTCCTTGAAAATACTTGCAGTGAAAATCAAATGTGGTAGTATTTAATTAATGTAAGTTTTGCTGGAAAACTTAGTGCATCACTGTTTGAACTTCCTGATCCAGAAAGAGTAATAATTCATTCTGCAAATGGTTTACTTATCATTTGACTAAAGAAATTGTAGTACTACTTAGAAAGCTAAATATTAAGTAATTTATAAAATGACTTGCTTAGTTATTTGTAGTACATGAAAAATCTGAAGAGCAAATGCATAACCTAAGTGATGCATGGTGACACGCAAAACTATTTAAAATTAAAGTCCTTTGCAGTGAATTCAAGTGCAGCATGGTAATTAAGTGTATTGACCTTGGAGATGAACATTTTGGGTTAAATACTAGCTTAATATCTACAAGTTCAACATTTTTGGGCAAATTGCTTAGTCTGTGCCTCAGTTTCCTTATCTGTACAGTGAAGATATTAATATCACTAATCTCATAATTTATTTAGAAGACTAATCTAGGACAGTGTATGGCACGGACTGGCTTCCATATCCTGTGTGTCTGGAAGCTAAAAATCATGCAGACATGGTTGCTATAAAAGCAATAGAGAGAGCTTGAAATTTTATACAGAATTTCAATCCACTTGGAGTGCCATGGTTTTGTTAATTACAAATATCATCTTTTAAATTAAACATGCAGCCATGCACTAAACTAAAATCCAAGTGGATTTAAGATCTAAATATTAAAAAAGAAACACTAAACTTGCTGGCAGATAAGTTAGGCAGAACTCTTGAAGACACTGGAATAGGAAAAGACTTTATGAACAAATTCTCAGCAGCCCAGGAACTACTATAAAGAATCAACAACCAGGATCTCATTTTATTAAAAGCTTCTGCACTGCAAATGAAACCAGCAACAGAGTTAAGAGACAAACTACAATATGGGAAAAATTTTACCAGCTGCCCCTCAGACAAATGACTATTATCTAGAATATATATATATAAAAACCAGCCCCCCCCTAAATATAAAGACCTGGTTAAAAAATGGGCATCTGAAATGAACAGACATTTCTCATACAAAGAAGTAAAAATGGCAAATAAATATAGGAAAAAAATATTCAACATCACTGGTCATCCAACTGAGATTCCGTCTCACTCCAGAAAGAATGGCTGCTATCAAGAAATTAACCAATAACAAATGTTAGTGGGGCTGTGGGGAGAAAGGAACCCTTCTCCATTGTTGGTGGGAGTGCAGACTGGTGCGACCACTTTGAAAATCAATACGGAGAAACCTCAAAGAACTAGGACCAGAGGTTCCATTTGACCCTATTCCTCATCTGGGTATCTTTCCAAAAGAATTAAAAGAATCATACCATAGTAATATATGTGCACCCATGTTTATAGCAGCACAGTTTGGAATAGCTAAAACTTGGAAACAGCTCAATTGCCCATCAGTTGGAGACTGGATGAAGAAGATGTGGTTTTTCTGCAATAATGAAGTACTACTCAGCCATAAAAATGAGAAACTAGAGTCATTCTTAAGAAAATAAATGCATATTGAAGCCATACTCTTAAGTGAAATAAATAAGACACACATATAAATACTGAGTAGTTTCTCTGGTGTGAAAAACTAAAAGTGTAAAAAAGATCCAAACTGTATAACTGACCAAGTGAAATAGGAAGAAAAGGGCTAAAGGTGTAGGGGAAGTGGAAAGGGTAGGGGAAAGGAAATAAGAGATAAGAAAAAATATAAGAAAAGGAAAAAATGGAAACAAAGTCTTTGTAAATAGGGGAGCAGGGAGGGGGTGAAGGGAGGGCAGGGACAAGGGGAAAAAATGAGAACCAAGACCTGTCATGTAAAGGTACAAGATCCCAATGATGAATGTAACTGTACTGTCTACCTAAAAAGTACCAATAAACTCAATGAAAAAAATAAATTAAACATGCACTATATATTTTCCATCTGTGCATTCTTGGGTTACTCCTTAGATGCTCATTCAATAAGATGTTAATATAAACATGTTTAAGCCCAAAGAGACGGGCAGATGTTTCTTATTAGCCTGGGACGGTAGTTTGATTATTTTTGTACTTTTTGTGCAATATATATTTGTATGTGGTAAAATATATAATGTCAAATGTATTTTTTAGACATTTTGCATTGTACGGTTCAGTTTACCCAGTACACGCTAACTCTCAGTTTCTTCTTCCCCCACCCCATGTCTATGTATTTTAAGCTCACGGTTTAGTCAGAATAGCTGTGAATGTGGTCGAGTGCCTGGGATTTGGTTCTGTTTCAGGTTGAAGAAGCTGGCTTGGTCAACCACCCCCCTTGGAAACTGAAGGTCATCCAGCTGTTTGAGACACAGCGGGTGAGGCACGGAATGATGACCCTGGGGCCCAGCGGAGCGGGGAAGACCACCTGCATCCACACCTTGATGAAGGCCATGTCAGGTATGGGGGCCAAGTTCTTTGCCCTGGCTGACCATTTAAATAGTTATAGCACAATTGGATACCCAAGAGGAATCTGAAGGCAGATGCACAAATATATTTTTGTACGAAGGAATCTGCTGCTTCACTGATTATTGGTTGCATTTAACAGATAACATATTACATTAATGGAACAGAGCAAAACATTTAAAGTGAACCTTTTCACTGCGCTGTGTGAGGTATGTTTTACATATATTTTGTCATTTCATTCAAATCACTGGTCATTCAAGAGATGCAGATGAAAACAACAGTGAGATTGTACCTCACCCCAGAAAGAATGGCTGCTATCTAGAAATCAAGCAATATCAAATGTTGGTGGGGTTGTGTGGAGAAAGGGCCTTCTCCATTGTCGGTGTGAGTGCAGACTGGTGCAACCACTGTGGAAATCAATATGGAGACACCTCAAACAACTAGGATTAGAGGTCCCATTTGACCCAGCCATCCCTCTGCTGGGTATCTTCCTCTAAGAATTAAAAGAATCATATCACAGTGATATATGCTCACCCATGTTTATAGCAGCACAGTTTGTAATAGCTAAAGCCTGGCAACAGCCCCGTTGCCCATCAACTGGGACTAGATAAAGAAGATACGTGTGTGTGTTTTTTTAAAAATAAAATGGAGTATTACTCAACCATAAAGGATGAAAAACTAGAGATATTTATAACTAAGTGGATACACATTGAGACATACTCTTAAGTGAAATTAGAAGGACACACATGTAAATACTGAATAGTTTCTCTGGTGTGATAAGCTAAAAGTGTAAATAAAAATCAGAATATATAATTGATAATGTGTAATAGGAAAAAAGGTATAAAGGTGTAGAGAAGTGGGAGGGATAGGGGAAAGGTAAGAAGGGAAATAAAAAATAAGAGAAAAGGAAAAAAATGGAAACAAAGACTTTTTAAATAGGGAGGTGTGGAGGGGGTGAACGGAGGCCAGGGGAATGGGGAAAAAATAAGAACCAAGATACATCATGTAACGGTACAAGATCTCAATGATGAATGTGACTGTACTGTATACCTAAAATGTACCAATAAAGAAAAAAGTTATTTTAAGAGATGGCCAATATTACCCCCATTTTGTACCCCCCCCCAAATCAAGACTCAAATTCAGAAGCGGCCAAAGTCACAAAGATGGTAAGTGATGGGACTCAGAATTTAGATGGGGACTCATGAACAAAACCCAGTTTTCCAAGTGTGCCATGCTACATACCCATAAATACAAAATACAATGTGCTATCCACCATGAATAAGACACAGTCCCATCCCAGCTCTTAGATTAGGTGTGTTGAAAGTTATCCCAATCATAAACTAACTTCCCACTCTGGCAGAAGATGTGTTTCTAGTGAGGCTGATATTTGTAGATGTCCCTAAGCCTCACTTCTGAGTTTCTTACCTTAAATTGTCTAAGGGTAATTGTGTTGCCACATTCACAATTCTTCTTCTTTTTTTTTTTTGGTGCTGGGGATCGAATTTGGGTTCTTGTGCTTGCGAGGCAGGCGGCGGCACCCCTGAGCCAAATCCCCGACCCTTCACAATTATTCTTATAATCTCTGTCCCTCATTGGATGTTGCTGATTCTCTCTGACCCTATGAGCAGCCCTCAGACGTGGCAGAGCTGAATTCCAGAATGCCACAGAACTGGAGGTGCTGTTGGAATGCTGCGTGCCAGTTGGGTTTCCTATTAGCTCCTGGAGCCCCAGGTCACTGTGGCATTATGGACACACTTTAGAGATTGCTGGAGATTGCCAGTGTTTACTTCAGGCATGTGCTGGATTTAGTCTCAGCTACTTCAGTTACTAGATGAAGTGAATTCTGTGCATTTGAACGCTGGGAGGACATCCTCAAAAGGAGATAGACCATACCCTTAGCTAGTACCTACCACTACCAGGTCTGAGAACTCTCATCTGTGCAGCTTACCATGTGGCTTTTAATGGAGGCCAGTAAGTGTCTGTTTGGGGATAATTTTAAGGTGACTGTGTTTTGTCTCTCAAATTATGCTTAATAGTTTTGTTATAGTTATGAAACTGCCTTATTTTAGCAATAAACTACAAATGGACCTGGTGCAAGGACTTGAGCAAGATGAAGTACTAAATATTGAACAGAACAGATACATTATGCTGTAATATGCCTAAATTATGTAAATCATATGGCATTGCTAACTTTGGAGAAGTTCCTTGTAAAGATGGATTATCACACTATTTGCTGTTTATTGCTTTTAATATGTAAGGTAAATATTTATTATCTTAAGATTAGCAAAATATTGAGGAACTAATTGGGTTGAACTTCTGTCAAAAAAGTGCAAGACCTGTCGATGTTCTATGTTCCCTGATTCATCTCTTATTTGTTCATCAAATATTTTTAATATTCTGTACTATGAGGTTCCACCAGGTTCTATACCAGAAGCAGAAAAACAGGTGTGAAAAAGCATATGTGTGTCTTTAAAGGTTTATAGCATAGTGGGAGGAACAGACCTGGACACAGATACTGTACCTCATTGTGGAATTACTATGAGAAAGGGGTGCACTATTATGCTGTGTGGAGGCAGAGGAGATCTGAAACTCCTCTAAGGAACTGTAGAAAGCCTTAAAGGGTAGTGCTACTTCCTCTCAGGCTTGAGAGTTGAGTAGCAAATGATAAAAAAGTATTCTTAGAGCCTTTGCAGGTAGAAAGGACTAGAGCGTGGGTGATATTTTGGCATGGATGAAATGCAACTTATTTGGAAGGTAGGATTGCGGGAGTTGACGCTGGTATGGAGGAATGCTAGGTGTTCCTGGCATCCAGAGCCATACTCCTTTGGCACCTCCCTGCTGTGGATGTGGCTGTGTTGAAAAGGACCCCTTTCTGAACTTTCTCCTTCCTCCACTTTCCAGTGCCTTCCAAGTGTTTAGCTTTAGAATTTTGCTTGAAACTAGGTGCTTGGCTCAGCCTGGAAGTTAGAGGTGGGTGAAAATTAAAGTCTCTGAGGCACCATATCCTCAACCAATGGAGAAAAAAAGGTGATGGGAAGTGTCCTACTTCCTGTGTTTCAGAAGGACATCCACCCTGTGACCAGTGGAGCCATGCACTCTTCACTGGCTTTCTTTCTCTGCCTTCCTGCCTCACTCTGTACCTTCAAACTTCTGGAACCCAAATCCTCATTTCAGAATGTGCTCTCAGTTGAATTCAAATTAGTGAGGTCATTGAGGCATGAGGAGCTGTGTAAGTCAAGGACGCACCCAGGTTTTATTCTGTAGGTGATAGAAAGCCACTAAGATGGGGAGTGCCCTGATCACTCTGGTGCCCATGGAAGGAACAGAGTGGGAGCAAGAGGGGCAGTCTTGAGCCCACAAAGAGGTGAAAACAGGAGGGAAATCACCTACTCTGAGAAACACTTAGGAGAAGAATCAGGAGGCATTGGTTTGATGAACTTATTCAAGAGCATTAGCTTGGATGACGCCTGCACATAAAAAGAGGGCAGTCAACTGATTCCAGAGATTTGATTGCTAAAGTCATTTTTTCTTAGAGCACTCTTACAAAAATGTTCTGGTTCTACCACCATAATGAAATAATTTTTTGATAGTTTCTTCTATGGAAAACAGATTAAGTCCAGTTTTTACCTATGACACTGCCACACACATTAAGATTTTGCTGGCCTTTTGTAAAGTGTGATTAGTCAAAAAAATTACTAATTAGTGTAGTTAGAGTTTTATGGATGTCATCTGCTGCAAAAGTTGAACCGTGGCTAAGTTAAACTTCACATCATAAACTATTGAAAATAATTGCTCTGATTGTTTTTGCCATTTCTAAATATTAGAAATATGGTCCAATTTTTAAAATGGGCTTTTAGTTCAGATTTTCCCAAGGATCAGATCCAGTGGAACACACACACACACACACACACACACGCACGCACGCACACACACACACACACACACACACACATACACACACTTTGAGCAAGTAATTGGCTCACTCAGTAGTGGAGGTTAAGAAATCTCACAGCCTGCTAACTACAACCCGAGACTCAGGAGCACTTGAGATGTAACTCATTCCCTGATATAATTCATTCTCAGTGAGGCTAGTGCTATAACCCTTCATCTGTGGGCTGGAGAAAACTTGATGAAATATCTCACCTCAAATAGGCAAGAAAAAGGAGTGAATTCCCTTCATTTTTTGGGGGCCTCCAATAGCTTGGATGACGCCTACACATATTAAAGAGGGCAGTCTACTGATTCCAGAGACTCAATTGCTAATGTCATCCAGAAACTTCCTCTTTAAAAAATTAATGTCTGTGTGCAGTACATAATAGTGATATTTGTTTGGTGAATTGGTACATGTAGTGTATTATATTTTGATCATTTTTGATACCTTGACCGCCTACCCTTCTCTCTTCCCCTTTCTCCTGATCCCCTGCCCTATCTCCAAAAAGTCTATCTCCCTCTTTCCTACCATCTCTATTTTATTTTACTCCTTCACTTACTTATGTTTTGGATTTTTATATAGTAGAAACCATACAATATTTAACTTTTCATGTCTGACTTATTTTCCTTAACATTATCATCTCAAGAACCATCCATTTTCCTGAATATGACATGATTTCATTCCTTACGGCTGTTCATATTCTACTGTTTAAATATACTACGTTTTCTTTATCCATTTGTCTGTTGATGTGCAGTGCACTTAGGCTGTTTTAAGAGTTTAGCTTTTGTGAATTGTGCTGTTATAAACACAAGTATACTTGTATCACATAGTTTATCTTTAACTTGGGAATACATCCAGAAATATATTTGGGTCAAATACAGTCGGGTCAAATGGAGTTTTAAATCATTAGTTTTTCTAAGGAATCTGCACACTGATTTCATTAGTAGTTGTACTAGTTTACATCCCACCAACAGTGACCAAGGGCTCCTTTTTCCCTACATTCTTGTCAGTGTTTTATTTTTTTTCAGCTTTAATCTTGTCAGTGTTTGATGTTCTTTGTGTTCTTGATTACAGCCATTTTGACCAGAACAAAATGGAATCTCAGAGCTGTTTTGATTTGCATTTCCCTAAAGGCTGAAGAGGAACTTTTAAAATCAACTTATTGACCATTTATACTTCTTTTGAGAAGCGTCTGTTCAGTTCACTTGCCCATGTTTCGATTGTGTCTTTTGTTTTCGGGGGCTTAATTTTTTTAGTTCTTTATATGTTTTAGATATTCATCCTTTGCCAAAAGAGTGGCCAGCATAAAATTTTGCCCATTCTGTCAGTTGTCTCTCACTCTGTTGTTTCTTTGGCTGTGCAGACTGTTTTCCATTTGATGCAGTCCCATTCACTGATGTTCAGTATTACTTCATATTCACTGGGTGGTGTTAGGAAGTTCTTGCCCACACCTACGGCTTCAAGTGTTTCCCCTAGGTTGTCTTCCAGCAGTTTAAATGGTTCTATTTTTAGATCTAGGTCTTTGGTCCATTTTGATTTGATTTTGGTACATGGTGAGAGATATAAGTCTAGTTTTATTCTTATGCATGTGGATAGCCAATTTTTCCAACATAATTTGTTGAAGGAGCTATTTTTTCTCCAGCATGTTTTTGTCTCCTTTGTAAGAAATCAGATGGCTGAAGGCACATGGTGTTATTTTTGTGGCTTCTGTTGTATTTCACTGTTCCTCACTTCTAATTTGGTGCTGATACCATAATATATTTGTTACTGTGGCGTTGTAGTATAACTGGGGATTTGGAATTGTGATGCCTCCCACTTTGCTCTTTTTGTTCAGGGTTGCTTTGATTCAAAATATTGAGCTTCTTCCAGTTCTATAGAAATTGCAGGGTTGTTTTTTCTAGTTCTGTGTTGTCAGTGTATTAATAGGGTCTGTATTAAATCTGCATATAACTTTCGGTTTATGGCCATTTTAATGATGTTAATTTGCCCTATTCAGAAACAGAGGATGACTTTCCATTTTCTTTCATGCTCTTCAATCTTGTTCTTTAGAGTACTATAATTTTTGTTATAGAGGTCTTTCGCCTCTTTGGTTAGGTTGATTCTATGTTTTTAATATTTTTTGAAACTCTCATGAATGGAATTATTTTCCTGATTTCTGTCTCAGTGGGTTCATTATTGGCATACAATAATGCTATTGATTTTTGTGTATCGACTTGGTAAGCTGTCACTTTGGTGAATTAGTTTATCTGTTCTGGTGGAATATTTTGGGTATTCTGTGTAAAGAATCCTGTTATCTGAAAATAAAAGATAATTTGACTTCTTCTTTCTTATTTGTATCTGTTTTATTTCTTTCTCTTGCCTGATTCCTTTGGGTAAAGTTTTGAGTACTGTATTGAACAGGAATGATGAGCGTAGATATTTTGTCTCATTCCTGATTTTAGAGGGCATACTTTCCATTTTTCCCACTCAGTATGATGTTGGCTATGAAATTGTCACACGTGTTTTTTTATCAGTTTGAAGTAAGGTCCTTCAATAGCTAATTTCTTTCTATTTTATTAGTATATGTTTGCAATACATGGTAAATACATTCACTGTGGAGAGGTGTTACATATACCATCTTGATCCTTTTTAATTCCCCTTTCTTTTTCCCTCCTTCTCCGGGTACCCTTCCTAGCTTCACAAAGTGCATCTCCCTGTTTCCTATTGTCACAATGAGTTTTGTTATGAAGCTATGTTGGATTTTGCCAAAGGCTTTTCTGCATCTCCTAAGATGAACATGTGATTTTTATCCTTGCTTCTATTTTTGTGGTACATTACATTTATCGATTTGTGTATGTTGTGCCATCTTAGTTTCCCTGGGAGGAAGCTACCTTGGTCATGATGTATAATCTTTTTAATGATTTTCTGAACTCTATTTATAAGTATCTTATTAAGGAGTTTTTACATCTTTGTTTATCAAGGATATTAGCCTGTAGTTTTCTTTTTGTGTTGAGTCCTTATCTGTCTTGATTGCAGGGTAATGTTGGTTTCATGGAGTGAGTACGGAAGCATTACTTCCCTTTCAATTGTATTGAAAAGTTTGAGGATTATTGGTGTAAGTTCTTCAAAGTTCTACAGTGAATCCATGGGGTGCAGAGCTTTTCTTAATTGGCAGAGTTTTTGTTGCTGCCTCAATTCCTTTGTTTATTATTGGCCTTTACAGTTTTTAAATAAAAACTTATTGGTTCAATTTTGTTAATTTGTATGTATCTAGGAATTTATCCATGTCTTCCATATTTTCCAATTTATTGGAATACAAGTTTTAAAAATAGTTACTTATACTCTTATGGACATCAGTGGTGTCTATTATGCTTTTGCCCTTTTAAATTTTAATTTTATTGATGTAGTTTTTTTTCTGTCTTTGTTTTGGTAAGTTTGGTCAAGCTTTAATCAATCGTATTTATCCTTTCAAAGAATCAACTGTTTGTTTCATTGATCCTTTGCATATTTGTCTCAATTTCTTCAATTTCCACTCAATCTATAATTTCTTTCCCTCTACTAGTCTTGAGTTTAGATTGTTCTTATTTTTCTAGGAACTTGAGGTGCATCATTAGGTTACCTGAGATTACTGTTTTTCTATTGTAGGAACTCATGGTTATATGCTCTCTCTTAGAGCTGTTTTCATTGTGTCACACAGGTTCTGGTATGTTGTATTCCCTTTGTCATTTGACTCTAGAAATTTGAAAATTTCTTCCGTGATTCATTGATCATTCAAATGTAAATTATTTAATCTCCATGTGTTGTATAGTTTATGGTTACTTTTGCTGTTGATGCAAGAGGTCATTTCAATATCTTTGTATGTATTGAGATATGCTCTATGACTTAAAGTATGATCTACTTTGGAAAAAGTTCCTTAGTGCTAAGAAGAATGTATATCCTGCTGTTGTTGAAGGAAATACTTTGCAGCTATGTTAAAACTCTTTTTTTCTATGGTGTGGTTTCTCTCTGATACTACCTAGTTATTTTTTAATTTAATTTTATTTTTTTGGTCCAGTTGACCTGTGAGAATAGGGTATTAAAGTTCGCTGCTGGAATTGTATTGATTCCCATCTGTCTTTGGGAGACAAACAGTTTTTCCTTATGAAATTTTGTATGCCAACATTCACTGCATACATATTTTCAATTGTTATCTCTTCTTGGTAAATTGTGCCTTTTACCAATATGTAATGTCCTTCTTTGTTTGTTCTGATCAGATTTGTTTGAGATTAACTTTGTCAGAAATTGGAATAGCTATTCCTGATTGCTTTCGCTATCTGACAGCATAGAGTATCATTTTCACTCCTTTCATTTTCAGTCTATATGTTTTTCATGGATTAGGTATGTCTCTTGCAGGAAACATATAGTTGGCTTTTTTAAAAAAAAAAAAATCTAACCTACCACTCTTTGTCTTTTGATTGGATAGTTAAGATCATTAACATTGAGTATAATTTCTGAAGATATTTACTGATTCATGTCATAGTATTATTTTCCCAGTGCTTGATTAAAAAAATTCTTTTTGTGTACTCTCTCCATGATCTTTATTCTTTCCTCTGGGATTTTTGGTACTTTTGACCTCATGGTCTCTCTTTTGGCTTCCCTTGAATATTTTTTTGTGATGCTGATTTGGTGGTCATGACATTTTTAGTTTATCTTTATTGTGGAATGGTCTTTATTTCTCCATCAATTTTGGAGAATATTTTGGCAAAATATAGTAACAGGGATTGTCAATTATTTTCTTTTAGTACTTGAAAAACTTCATGCTCTCCTGGCCTTTAAAGTTTTGTAAGGAAATGTGATGTTAATCAAATGGGTTATCTGTATGTACTTTGTGTTTTACTATTAATAGCATGTAGTATTCTCTCTTTGTTCTGAATTTCTGTGATTTTATTATGTGTCACAGAGAGGTTGTTTTCTGATTGTGTATATTTGGGGTTCTAAATGCCTCATTTTCCTGGGTATTTGTCTCATTCCAGAAAAAAACTTTTAATCTGGGCACCCTGAGGCCAGAGTGACATATAAAATATTCTCCATAATGGGTTTTAATGTAACATCTTTTCTAATGTGCATATCCTAGTGTGCTTGAATTTGTTAATCTTTTACATAATTATATAATATTTCAGCATCTCCTTTCATCATTTTATACTTTACATCTTATTCACTTTTTTGCTCATTACCTACAGTCCTTTATTTGGAGAACTCTTGCCTACTTAGTAGTAGTTTTAGGACTTGAAAATTTAAATGCAGTACATGAGGTTGAGTAGAAAAGAACATCTTTGTTTTGTGCAAAATTCATTTAGTTTAAATTTTCCCAGGTAAGCAAAGAAAGGTATCATCTTAAAGCTATAATAGAAGGAAGCATCTATCTCCTAGCTGATATTTCAGGCACATATTTTAATCTAGTATGTTAAAATAGAAGATCTTTGAACTGTGAAATTTTGAGATCTAGATTATAGTATTACCTTCAAAATTCCAGTATGTATTCTTTTTCTCCCCCAAGCAATATGCAATTTTCTTTTATAGAAGTTAAAAAAGTGCTTTAGTCAATAAAGTGTAATGAGGCTAATTATAACTTGGAATTTAGTAAGACATGTTTTCAGTGTAATTTTGCCTTTTTAATACTTGGAGTACTTGCTGACAGTACAACACAAATTCATGCAATGTTGCTTAATCATGGCTCACCCTACATCTAAAATGTTTGAAATTTGGGTTTATTTGGCATAGATTGTGGAAAACCACACCGGGAAATGAGGATGAATCCCAAAGCAATCACTGCCCCACAGATGTTCGGGCGGCTGGACGTGGCCACAAATGACTGGACTGATGGGATATTTTCTACCCTTTGGAGGAAAACTCTGAGAGCTAAGAAAGGTAAAAGATGAATTGCAAGTATTATTTTTAGTATATGATTCTAAATAAAATCCTTGGTGATTGGGTAGAACTGTGTTTTCCACACTATTATTATATTAAGACTGAGATGTCACAAATCCACATATTTGTCCATGGTAAAATAATACATTTATCGATTGATGCATTTAAAATTATTTTTTGAAAAAATATTTTTGAAATAACATTTATGTATCCTTGTGATATCTTAGAATATAATAGATGTCAAAAGCTACTAAAGAAAACTGATAGCATCAAATAAAGTGACTATTATCAAAACTATTTTCACTGAATATTTAAAAAATGTTACTTTTTTTTGAGTACAGTTTATTTGAAAAAAAAAATGGACTAGCCCATAAAATCACAGAGATGATGAATTTCTTTGGGGAGAAATTTATACATATAAAAAGTGGTGTCTATATTGAATTAGCATATTATTCCATGTAGATGGTAATTGGCTATTTAAGCAAACAAATCAAAGGCTAGTGGTTCACTGTGAGTAGTCTCTCACCTATGGATGCTGTACATTGAACCCAGTGTTCTCAGACTATAAGTTCATGGTATCATCTTTCCTCTCATTTTGTCTTTTCAATTCTGAGTGGATAGAAGAGAGCCATAAGGAGTTCAGTCAAGGGTACAAGAAGAATACCACTGAGAAGGAGGAGCTTTCAGGAGTTACTTCCGGGGTCTGATCTTTGGGCAGCAGGGCTCTGTCCATGGCCGTTTAAGGTGGCTCCATTGAACGAATATAGCTGATTGACCTAACATCAATATACCTGATTGACCTTCTGTTGGGAAACAAAAGTGTACTTGTGTTAGAAATCTTTTCACCGGAAAGAAATGGAATCTTTTTCAGATTTGTTCCAGCAACCCAATGTAAACGCAGATCCAGTGACCAAAGATTACTTCAGAGAATAGCTTGGAGTGGGGTTTTTCCTTTCCCCATAAAAAGGAACAGAGCATTCTCTTTCACAAGTGACTCATGATTAGATCAACATTTTCCTTTCATTGCTAATTCAGTGAGCTTGATTACAATTTTCAAAGCCTTTCATTTGAAATAGAATTTTCACAGTGATTCTACAGCAAAGAGCAGTCAGAAACACAAACTTGGTCACAATGTTGGTAAGAGAAACCAGTCGTTAGAGAATCAAGGAGTCAATTGCTTATATTTACAGTTATATTAATACTGAGCATTGTGTTGTGTGTGCTGTTTTCTCTACCTTTGATTATGTCTTTAAATAACTTCTGTCAGGTTTTGTCCTAGGACTCTCCTGAAATTATGTTATCAAAGACTCTTGTGATGTTCAGTGTCAAACACAGACTGCCAGTTTTCAGCGTAGTCCTGCTCCTAATGACATCTGTCACAGTTGATCACTCTTCTTTCTGAACCTTCCTCCCGTGGCTTTAGGAATCCCCTATCCTGTGGACTCCCTTTCCACCTCCGCTTTATTGAGATGTTTGGAAGAGGGAGGGAGGAGCCAACAAAAAAGACCTCACCAGAAGTTGAAATGTTGCATCCCCTTGCTCCTCCCACTTCCTGTGTCTCTACAATTACCTAGAAGAAACTTACCCAGTCTCCTGGCTTTAATGCTGTCTCTAAGCTGATGGCTTTCACATGTGAATTTCTAGCCTTGACCTCTTCCCTGAGCTTTCAACTGAGCAGCTTTCTTAAGATCTCTGTTGGACATTAAAGTGAAAACCAGAATTTATTTCATAGCGCTCTCTGTCTTGTCTCACTGTCTATTGCATTCATCGATCTCTCCTTTTCTCTTTCTGCCAGCCAAATTCAACCTCTCACTGTTCTTGGATCATATTCACTTTTTTTTTAGTTCCTCTGGGCTACTATAATTTAACACCATAGACTAGATGATTTGTACACAATAGATATTTATTTCTTACAGTTCTGGAAGCAGGAAGTCTGGTATCAGGGTGCCAGTATATCTAGGTTCTGGGGAAGCCTTTTTCTGGGTTGCAGACTACCTACGCCTCTGTTGCATCTCCACATGGCAGAAAGGGCAACAGAGCGCTCTCTCTTATGAGAGCACTAACCCCATTAAAAAGGCTCCTTCTTCATTACTTAGTTACCTTTTAAAGCCCCCACCTCTGTGGGCATTAGGATTTCAACATATGAATTTTGACAAATTCAAGTTAATTAGGATAAAAACTTTCAGTCTGTTGTATTACTCTAATCTTGTTCCTGCTTTAGGGTTTTTGCAATTCTTCTCACTGTCTGGAAAATTTCACTTCTAAATCTTTCCATCATTTTATTTTCCTTCTGGATTCTTTCACTGACTACCATACCAATAAACAATGCTCTATCCCCTCAAGCTGCTTAATTCTCCTATATTTTTATCTGTTCATTTTCTTGATTGTCATCTCTGCCCCTCAGAATATGGACTCTGAAGCAGGACATTGTTTCACTTACCACAACAACCCCAGATCCTAGCATGGGGCTGACACACACATGGTCCTTTGTAAACACTGCTCAATGAACAAATACTTTTTGGCTTGATTATGGTCCTCGTACTACTCTTATGAAAAGAATTTAAAATGTCCTATTGCTGAAATAATCAGTGAGAACAAAGCTTTATTTAAAACTAATAAAAACTATATCAAATTATAGTAGTTATTCACACTTTACAGCTGTATTATATATATGCCTGTATCTATACCATGCCTTCTCCCCTCCTTTGGTGGGGTATTCTAGGGGAACATATCTGGATAGTTCTTGATGGTCCAGTTGATGCCATCTGGATTGAAAATCTGAATTCTGTTTTGGATGATAATAAAACCCTAACTCTTGCCAATGGTGATCGGATTCCTATGGCTCCAAACTGCAAAATCATTTTTGAACCTCATAACATTGACAATGCTTCTCCTGCTACCGTCTCAAGAAATGGAATGGTCTTCATGAGTTCTTCTATCCTTGATTGGAGTCCTATTCTTGAGGTATGATTGAATCCTTCTTTCATATAATTAAAAAGGAAAACCGTTCCTTTAGCATTCTTTGAGTGTGTGCACCAGTTTTTCTGCAGCTGGCAGTGTAATTGCCTTTTTATGCTAATGTTTCTGCAAGACCCTTGAATGTGCAGGGACTTTCAAACTTTGATTGCAGCTCATAGACTTCTACAGTCTTCCTCTAATCACTTTGGAACTGTGATTTCCAGGTAAATGCCAGCCCTATGTGAATCAATAATCCTGCCAAACTGTGTCTGAGGCCCAAATAAGTAAAAATTTAATTCATTCAGTTTGGGGCTTCGTGGTATTTTTAAAAATTCATTCACATAAAGTTTGAGAACAACCATTTGGCATATAACTTGAAGACAACTTGTTAAAGTGGTCATTGTGTATATCCAAATTGTATCAGTAAACTTAGTAAAAAGAAATAAAAAGCAAAGTAAAAGAGCAATGTAAGAAACAGGACTGAGGGATTTGGTAAAGGAGTAACAGAGGAGGGCTTTGGGAGGGGATAGTAAAAGTGATGAAGTTATGATATGTATATGTGCTAATTCCCCAAGAAAAATGAGACTAATATGTATCTCAACATATTCTGATAAAAGATTGAGAAAAAATAGTTACAGGAGAAAATAAAATTCAGTGACCATTGATCATGCAATCAATATATGTTAGAATCTCCTGTACTAAATTTACAGAATGAAAATTATGCTTCAAGAATAAAAAAGTTATATGTAAGGATTTTTCATGAGATTCAGTAGTCATAATATTATTTTAAAAGTTAAACTTCAGAACTGATATTTGAGGTGATGGCTCTCTTCAATTCATGATGAGGTATATTATTTTATTATAGCCAATATGTTTTAGAATACATTGATTAGATCTAGATTATAATTAAATGTCTTATGTACCTACATAACTTACTAAATCCCTACTATAATGTAAGGCAAGATGTTTAGTAGATCAGCCATGTGGCAAAATTTTTAACATAGTCAAATTTACTATTTTCACTTATATCAATTTTCAAGAAAATTTTGGCTTGAAAGCACCCTGATTTAAATAAAATAGATGTTCATTTTATATTGTCATTACTTTTTAAAACTTTCATTTCTAGGTGGATGTACCCCAACTTTATTATTAATGTCTTTCCAGAAGTCACACAACTCTGAGTTGCCTGAGGGTTTAGTTTTGGTAAAGTGGGAAGATGTGAAGGAGGAGATTATATGACAAAATGATACCAACATATGGGTGAATGTGTCCCTAAAAATACTAACAAATAGTTCATATTTCATAATTAAATTATCCATTACAGAGAATAAAGAGCAGCGGTTCTATTCATTTATCTATTATTTATTTATTTATTAATTTTTATTCATTAAGTTTATTGGTACATTTTTAGGTATACAATATAATGACATTCGTCACTGGGAATCTGTGCCTTTACATGATATTTCTTGGTTCTTATTTTTTTCCCATTCCTCTGAAAGCAGGGGTTTTTGACCTGAGCTTTGCAAAAGTAACCACCAATGTTTTTAAAAAAATAACATGATTGAGTCCATCCCAATTCTACCAAACTAGAATCTTTGGGGAGGAGACCCAGAACTTGTTTTTAGAAGCAATACAGTAGATATTTTGTACATGGCCACACTTGGTGACCAAAGATAAAGCTCACTCCAGGTGAAGCCTTATGAGATTTCCCCCGAAATATTTCAATTGCATAAAGGTTTTTTAAAGAAACTCTTTTATACTACCAAGGTAATGAATAGAGTTTACTCTTTATAAAAGAAGCTTTCGTTATCATATCAGTATCTAGACCAAGGCTGCATAGGACCTTTCTGTCAATTCTGTACCTTACCTAGCAATATTTTTATATGCTTTTAAATAATCCAGTTTCCTCTTGGACATGATCAGGAGGCAGCAAGACTCACCAAGAGCCACTGTAGAAATGTTCTGAGGAGAGCAGGGTGTTAGGAGGAAGACCCTTGGAGAACTGTGCAGGTGGGGTGCTGACAGCTCCAGGCCCCCAAGCTGGTGACCCGTCCAGAATGTCATTGTTGGTCCTGTCACCTTGAAAGCACTACTCCTGCTTCTGTGGAGGCAGATTCATGGTAAACTCATGAATTAATGAATAATTCAGAATCAACACCTTAGCGCTGCTGTTCACAACCCTTGATTGTTTCTGAGAAGACTGAGGTGAGGAAGGTGCTATCTCTTCACCCAGAGGGAGCTTGTCTCATCTGAAGAACATGTTAGAAGGCAGTACTTTGTTAGAAGACGTGTACTCCCCAAGGGAACTAAATTCACATTTTCCTGAATATGCTTAGATATTTTTTCTTCATTGCTTGTTGATTAAATTGGAAAAAAGGAAGCAATGAGTTGTAAATTTTTGTTTTCCAGTTAAAAAATCTGGGTGTGGATTTCCTTTGTTCATCATTTATTCCTTTTCTTGCTCCAAGTTATTTCCATGTATATGGGCCTCTTTGTTTTCTTCTACCCCATTTCAGTCAAGATCCAAGTCTCCCTCTTGGCCTCAAGACCTGAATATGTACATACATAGAGTAGGAGGTGAATGTGTGGATTTTTTTTTTTTTTTTTTTGGTTTTTTTGAGACAGGGTCTCACTATGTAGTTGAGACTGACCTGGAACTCACTGTGTAGCCCAGGCTGGTCTCAAACTCACAGCAATCCTCTTGCCTCAGCCTCCCGAGTGCTGGGATTACAGGTGTGTGCCACCATGCCCGGTGTGACTGTATGCATGCTGAGCTAAACTCTCTGGATTTGAATTCTGATTTAGCAATCTACCAACTGTGAGATTCTGGTCAGGATACTTCACATCCTAAAGCCTCAGTTTCTCCATCTATAAAAGGGGAACAGTAGTTCCTACTGCAGAGAATGACACCGAAGATTAGGGGCTTAATACATGTCAGAGTCATCACACTATTGCCAATCGATATTAGTATTATTGTTATTCATGGATGCTTTTTTCAAAACGCTCATCTAGTCACTGCGCTCCTAGGCCTAACTGATCCGGTCATGTGTGAACTAACAGGGTTTTCTTAAGAAACGCTCCCCTCAAGAAGCTGAAGCCCTGCGCCAGCTCTATACCGAGTTCTTCCCGGACCTGTATCGCTTCAGCGTTCAGAACTTGGAGTGCAAGATGGAGCTGCTGGAGGCCTTTGTGATCACGCAGAGCATCAACATGCTGCAGGGCCTCATCCCTCCCAAGGTAGGGCTCCGCTCCGGTTTTCCCCTGCTCGCTGGGGCCCTGTGCAGAGAGCCGAGGCAGGCTGAGATTGGATGTGTCAGAGCTGGGGGGGGGGTTTCCACACCATCGAGCCGTGGATCCGGAACCTAGTTGCTGGTTTAGGGCAGTCTCGAAAGTGTCTGTAGTTTACTCTGAAAGCCAGCGAGGCGTTCCTAGGGAGCATGCAGTTCCTCATCTCAGCCCCCGTTTGGGGCCCTTCCTGAAGTCTTGGGGAAAATGACTCTTCTCCCTCCAAGTTCTCTCGGCAGATTTCGGTGTGAACATCCAGTAAGCACAGCAAAGACTGTGTTTGCCTCTCCAGGAGCAGGGTGCGGAGGTCGGGCCCGAGCACCTGGCCAGGCTGCTGGTCTTCGCCCTGCTGTGGAGCGTGGGGGCCGCACTGGTGGCTGCGCTCTGGGCGTGCACAGCCCGCGCACCTGCCGCCGCTGGACGAGCCCGGAAACTCCGCCTTCGACTACTTCGTGGGGCCCGACGGTGAGCCGCCCACCGCCCGAGTTACTTTCCTACTTTCTAGGCGTTGTTTTTGAATGTAAACTCTTGACTGTGAAATTAAGAGCCAAGAATGTTGGCATGTAAAGAAAGTTCATACAGTAATGGGTTCGTTTAAAAATATTTGTGCCCCAAATGCGTATTTCCCCCATGGTTACCGATACTGTGGGATGGAATTGTAGTGAATTAAGGAACGCTGCAAAGGTGTCTGTGTCAGGCCCATTCCAGACATTCATGCAATATAATCAGCAGTTTATGTGATTATGCATCTTACCACAGGAGTGTCTATCGATATAGGTCTTTATATTTATCTAAGTATCGATACTGCTCTGTATGCTTTACCATTACTGATTGTGCACTCACAGAAAGTGCATGCACACGTATAAGAAACACACACATATATATTACTCTCCTAAGTGTATTTGCCATCTCCTTCCTGATGAAAAGCGTGTGAGATTAGACATCACTACATAATTAATGAATTGAAGTGTGTGTTACTGTCACACTATCCTGTGTGTTTACATTCCTCACCTTATCGAAAACCTACATGTTCTCAAAAAGCACAATACTGAGATATTTCCTTACATTTCCTATTACCCTTTCAGTACAGTTCCTGGACATTTTGACTAAGCACGTTTGACATACTGTGCTTGAGATTTGTAGTTTTAATTATCTGTATTTCATTGGGGTTGCAGGGCTCTCTGCTCTTGGCAGCGGAAGTTAGCTTACTGACAGGGACACGTGACCGTTCTCTTCCCATCAGGCACCTGGCTGCACTGGAACACTCGCATCCAGGAGTATGTATATCCACCTGACGCCACGCCGGAGTACGGCTCCATCCTGGTGCCAAATGTTGACAACGTGAGGACCGACTTTCTAATTAAGACCATTGCTAAGCAGGGCAAGGTATGGCTTTTTAACTTTTATTAAAAATAGCATATTTTAAAAGGTCACTTGAAAATACAAAGCACCTGCATTTATTTCAGAATCATTTCTGTTGCCATTTAGAAGAAATGAAAATATGACCAAAATATACTCTTTTTATCATCCTCCAGTGACAGTATTAGAGCCCAATAATCATAATTCATAAGTAGTATTGATTTCTTGTGTATTGAGCAAAAGTGAATTGTGGCTTATTTTTCTGAAGGAAATCTTTCCCGTTTTATTATTGACCTGGTTTGCTAGAACGGGTACAGGAAAGTACAGAAGCCTGGGCGACTAAATCAATAGCAGTTTGTTTCCTCCGCATGGTTCTGGAGGTTGAGTCCATGGTCAGGCTGCTTGCTGGCAGGATTGGATGGGTTTCTTCTGAGGATGCTCTCCTGGGTTCACAGAGGGCACCTTTTTCTGTCTTCCTATGGCCTTTCTCTGTGTGCACATCCAACTTCCTTCTCCCAAGGACAACAGTTAGATCGGATCAGGTCCACTCTAAGACCTCAACTTACCCAAGTGTCCCTCATGTTAGAAGCCTCATCTCCAAATACAGCCACAGGCTGTGATACTGGGGTTTGAGACGTCAGTATGGGGACAGGCATAACTGGACGCACAACATTTTATTTCATTTCTTTCTAACCCCTTTATTTCAGGCAGTGCTGTTGATTGGTGAACAAGGAACAGCCAAAACAGTCATCATCAAAGGATTCATGTCAAAGTATGATCCTGAAAGTCACATGATCAAAAGTTTGAACTTCTCTTCTGCAACCACCCCATTGATGTTTCAGGTACTGACTTTTTGGTACTGCTCATTAAAACGAGTTTGTGATGCACTGTGGAGGTCACACCACGTCTCTACTCATCTGCCTCTGTTCACAGAATCCCACCTGAACTTCCACAGCCATGAAATAGTTCCGACTTGTCTTCTATCACTTCTGTTATTCACTGCAATAGGCTCTCTCGTTAGCTGTATTGTAACATATAATTTTTTTTTTTTGGTACCGGGGATCAAACTCAGGACCTTGTGCTTGCAAAGCAGGCGGCTGCACCACTGAGCTAACCCCCCGGCCCTGTAACATAATCTTGAATTAGGGAGGAATGTCAAGTGCACATAAGGTTCCACAAACCGCAGTACTGTTTAAAATATAAGCCTGTGAATGTGGAAAATCCTAAACTGAAAGATAGATCATTTAGCCTCCTGCCTAGACCCTCCTTCTATGCTTAGTATGTTTTTGTTTTTCTAGCCCTTAGACCAGAGCTTTTGCAATCATTTTCATAGATCTTTCTTGAATCCAAGTCTGTCCTTCTGTGCATGTGTGTGTGTGTGTGTCTTGCACATCTTTTTCTTCACGCCCCCATCACCTCTGTGTAATCCTCTTTTCATGATTCCACTCCAGGGTGCTGCCATGGAAGAATGTTAAATTTTTCTCGATTCAGTTTGAATTCTCTTCCAGTCTAGCTTTTACAGCCCTTCCAACTCTCTGTTTCCTAAATTGCTGCTCTTCTTTTGTTGTTCCCTGACTTCCAGCAAGGACTCTAGGATGGCTCCTGTGAACAACCGCAGAAAACTATAAAATCTTAGACTTTTCTCACATGAAATATTTAACCCTAACATTTCATACCATATTTTATTGGAGTGACACAAAAACCTTTCAAATTTGCATTTACAGTGGCTGTTTTTTAACAGTCCAAAACTGTGCAAGGCTTTCTTGTAACCAGAGAAAGAATTCTAAATGCCAGTTCATGATTCAAGCATTTTCAGATGTTCTATAAGATTTTTATTGGAACACAAGTACATTATGGAAAGATTTACTTCATAAATTATAAACAGATGGGAATTATTTAGAGGAATCCAAACTCAAGAAAATGCTGTTTCTGATGAACTTGGTTGTTCTTTAGCTGTTGAAATGAAATGATCAGGGTGATGAAAATAGTGAAGGGCATAGTTAAATCATGACTTTTATCACCTACTGTAGTTGGTGATAGCAGAGTGCCAATGTGCTAAGAACATTGATTAAATTTCTAAATAAGACTGTCAACTTCATTAGAATCCTCTGTTGGAGGTGGAATTTCCAATACTGGCCAGCCTGCTACAAAATGAGTAACATTTATCCAGCGTCTTTGCAGGAAGATCTAGACAAAAGGTCAACCTCAAATTGCAGAGAAGCAGCAGTGGTATTTTTGTGTTTTGAGCACAGCACATTAAATTATCCTAGGCTGGCAAGACGTCAACATTATACATAGTCTGTTGCTACTGTTCTACATTGAAAGAATTTTTGTTAATTTTACTTTAGGAGAACATTCTTTTTAATGATTATAACCTTATTTGAGGACGAATGTTTTTTAAAAATCAAAATGTGATATTTTCCCGATTATGTAGGATACTTATTTAGCTATTTGCACTTTTTGAGACTGCCATAAATCTTTAGGCCTGTATGCAAATCTGACAATAAATCAGAGCCAACGCAGACTTCCTAGGGTATGGGCACAGCTCCTTATGAGACTGTCTTACTTCAGACGCCAGCCACAAGCTCAGACCAGCTGTCAATAAGACACTTCTGACCGAGAGTCTATAAGTTCGCTGGACTCATGACCTCCCTGCTTCCATAACTTACTAAAAACACTTCAATAAGTCAGGAAAGTGCAGTGCTTCACATTGTGGTTTCTTATAAAAGCAAAATAGCAGTTATCAGCACCAAGGAAAGATGTACAGGGCAAAGTTTAGGAGGGTCCCAAATGCAAACCTTTCTTGCTGTCAGGATGTATGACCCTCCCGAGTGCACATCTCCAGCCAGGAAGCTCCCTGGGCTTTTATTGGGTTTCCCTTGCATAGGTGTGCTTCACAAATCATTGACTGGGCTCAATCTCCAAGTCCCCTTCCCTCCTGGAAGGTCAGCTGATAGATGACTTAAAACTCCAACCTTCTAATAACAGACTAGGCTTTCTGGCAGGAATCTCAGGACTCATATGAATATGGTTCTTTCATGTCCAGGGTCACATGAATAACAAAGATATTCCTGTTACTCAGCAAATACTAAGGCTATCGGTGCTCCTGCTAAGGAGCTAGGAACAGAAGGACACCCAAATTATTATAGAATAAAGCCTCATCACTGTATTTTTCATTAACAGCTCTGATATTTAGCCCCAAAAGCTAGAAAAGATCTGTACTTGATGCCTTTTTAACATCAGATATTTATTATAATTTCCTGGAATATGCCACGTTACCTAGAGAATCTGTTTATTGTTTGATGTACAGATTCTTGAACCATGTGATGCCCTATTGATGTATAATAATGAGGAAAATGATTTGGAGACCAAAAAGCCCGTCTTCTTTGGTGTGCCCTTAACTGACTCATGCTGCTTTTGCCAGATTCCTTCTTCTCCTTCATGGTGAAGGTGGTTTCATCCTGTGACCATTTCCTCCCCTGTTCCAAAGCATTTCAGGATCATGGGTTTTGTTTCGTGCCCTTGCCTGTTCTGACTGCTAAGTATCAAGGCTCTTTGTTAAGCGAGGCTCATTAGCTTTAGAAAGCTTTCAATTAGCCAAACTGCTGTAATTAACTTTCTCACTGTGATTTTCAGTCATTCATACTGAACAGGGCTGATGGAGCAGACCATTTGTCTCTGAGTTTCCCACTTCTCTGGATCCCATCCGAATTGAAATTGCAGAGGAGCCAGCACTGTGTGTCCCTGTCTGTTACTGTGATGGTGCGCTGTCCTGTCAGGAGCACTCATCTCCTAGTCAGCTTGCTCCCGCTAGGGTTCTCTTTGTTTTCTCCATCCCGTTCTTCTCAGTAGGTAGACAGTATGGTCCTCTTTGCCAGGCCAATTGACTTCCAGTGTCTCAGATTAATAACTGCAACCACCATGTCACTACTCAAAGCATCTAGTTTGGAGAGAGAGAGAGAGAGAGAGAGAGAGAGAGAGAGGGAGAGGGAGATCTACTGTAAGCTGGAATTCCTTTCAGCTAAGATTTTTTTTAGGGGGGTACTGGGGATTGAACTCAGGCCCTTGTGCTTGCAAGGCAGGCCCCAGAATATACTAAGCCATCTTACAAGTGGTTGCATAAGCATAGATTTTAATTTTTAAAAATGAAGATTGAAAAGCCTGGAAGGAAATTCAGTATTTTTTTCTTTTTATTGAGTTTATTGGTACAATCTAGGTATACAATACAGTTACATTCATCATTGGGATTTTGTACCTTTACATAATAGGTCTTGATTCTCATTTTTTCCCCTTGTCCTTGCCCTCCCTCCACCCCATCTTTCCCTCCCCATTTATAAACACTTTATTTCCATTTTTTCAGTTTCTCATATTTTTTTCCTCTCCCTTATTACCTTTCCCCCACCCTTCCCACTTTCCCTACACCTTTAGCCCTTTACTTCCCGTTTCACATTATTAATTATCTCATTAGGATCCTGTGTACTGTTATAGTTTTTCACACCACAGAAACTATTTGGTATTTCAGTTAAAGAAATCTCTGTATGAACATTAAAAATAGGGAATCCTAAAATAAAACTAAAAAGGAAAGTAAAAGAGAAAAGGCAATGATGTAAGATTAAAATAATCCTTAATTCTGAAGATGAAAATGGTCCCTTAACATATTTAAATTGTTTCTTGCTCTTGTAGTCTTATCTTATTCTTTTCATTATTTAGAGAATACTTTATTAGTTTCTGTAATCAAACCCATGTAGATATGACCTTACATATTTAATACAGTGCATTACACCTGTACAAATGGAAAAAAAATTTAAAAAATTAACATTTAAAAAAATAGCATTTCAACACAGTAAATTGGGATAACTTTTTCCAAAGTTGAGAGCACCATTAAAGTTTCCAAAAATTCAAGTTATATATATATATATATATTTTTTTTATTTATTTATATAAAAAGACCAATAATAGCAGTATGTTATACATCAATAGCAGCAACAGCTTTTCCAGGTTCTGCAGTCATCTGAACAAAATTATAGACATTCAGCACATTCCATTAAAAAAACAAAAACAAAAAAACAAAGAAAAGAATAATATCCAGAAAATAGCACAGTTCTGTTGCTGTTGTGGTACCTAGCACCATTTTTTTTTATTAGCATCTTAATCATCATCTGGAAAGAGAACATTCTACAGTAATATCATTAAATATAGCTCTGATAAAGCATGGTCACTACATATCATAAAGCAGGTACAAGATATTTTACATTCACAGAGGTATGATGCAGTACTGTCCTACATCAACAATACTAGAATCAGTTTTGGTTTGAAATTTGCTTTGTCTGAAAATAAGATTACTACCCCTGCTTTTTGCTGGGCTCCTGTCACATGGAGAATTGTTTTCTATCCTTTCACTTTCAGTCTATGGGCTTCTTTTTGCACTAGGTGTGTTTCTTGTATATAACATATTGTTGGATTTTGCTTCTTATTCCATCCTGCCAGTCTATTTCTCTTGATTGGTAAGTTGAGGCCATTACATTGATGGTTATAACTGATATGTACTGACTTATTATTGACATGTTATTGGCCTTTTGCTGACTCTTTGCTTTTTCGCCTTCTCCTTTTAATTTCTTGCCTTGCCTATTTGATTTGCTCTCTTGGGCCTCATGGTGTTGTTGCCTTCATTGTCTTTTTCTAGGATCTTGTTTAGAATTGCTTGTAGTGCTGTTTTAGTATTCATGTAGTTTCTCAGGTGTTCTTTGTCATGGAAGTATCTTATTTCCCCATCCATTTTGAAAGAGAGTTTTTGCAGGATACATCAGTCTAGGTCAGAGGTTGTTTTCTTTTAGTACTTGAA